GGCCTGGCCGCCGAGGGGCGCGTCCTGCGAGCCGTGCTCTACGTGTACCACAGCAGGCTGCTCCGGCACCGCTCCTTCCTGGCCCTGCAGCAGGTGAGCAGCGGCCCCGGCCCCAGCGGGGCGTCGGGATGCCCGGGGCATCGTGCGAAAAGCGCTTTGGTGCAGTGAACGTCTGTGGTCTGTGAGCCGCTTGCAGTTCAGTCCAGGGAGTTTCCTGGCTCTGTGCAGCCAATGCGATTCCGCTTCCCAGCCCTGCGGAACCAGTAGCCGGTCTGTTACACTCATTCTAAGACCTGAAGTAGGCAGAGTTACATACCTTTGAATACATGAGTACTACAGGGATTTGATCTTCTGGTAATTGTGATAAAGGGGGAGAGGGAGTGATAATCCTAGGCTACTCTTTTAGGCACTTTCTGCTTTAAGATGAAAAGTGAACTCCTTACCAGTTTTTCAGTAAAAGGATTGTCAGTATTTTCAAATAACCATTCTGAACTAGAATGGGAATCATTCTTTCTTTCTTGATTTGTTTATGCATTTTCATTCTTGAAAGCTAATACCAAAGGCCATTGTGTACTGCAGGGGAAGCCGTGCATTACCAATTATCAATAGCCTATTCCAGCCTTTCACTTAATTACATATTTGCAGTAGTGTGATAAAGGGATCTTTTTCGTCACAGTGCAGATACAGGGACATACCAGAACATTCCATCGTGCAAACCTGCAATTTGTGCTGTTAAACTGATAAGGGGAAGGTGTCAATTAATACAGTGACAGTTCTTAGACCAAGACGCTCCCATCTCTCAAAACACCAGTCAAAGGAGTTTTCTTTTTTCTAGGTAGAACAATGCTTGAAACGCCTATGGAAAATGAACTTGGTGGGCTGTATTGAAACTCTGGCAGAGCTGATTCCCAAGTAAGTGTTGTGATCCTGAACGTTCCATTATCTGTTAACTCAGTCTGCAGAGCTGAAGTGGAGAGTGCTAGATCGTAACCATCTCCTTGTACCAACCCAGGAAAAATACTTCTCAAACCCATGCAGAGTGCCTAGTTCCCAGCCAGCCTATGCTGGAAACAGTAGCTCTGAAGGTGTTGGGAGGTTGCAAGCTCATACTGCGTCTACTGGACTGTTGCTGTAAAGCTTTTCTGTATCCTTTTTTCATTATGAAAACACTCTTACCGTTCACTAGCAGCACCTCGTGAGACCACAGCTAGGTCTGCTGCAGGCCATTATTGCTGATGGATTCAACTGTGCATTCATACGTGTAACTTGAAGTTTCTTTGAGAGCCAAACTTGTTATGTTCAAGTTATTATGTAGGAACCTCGGGCTGTTGGCTGGCTACTATTCCGGCCTAGAGCAACCCAAAGTTTGGATACTCATCTCCCAAATTATCCAGGATATTGCCTTCTGAATTGCCTCTAGTTGGTGCGTTCAGCAAGTCTCATTACATGCTGTTTATTTTTTATCCTTAACTGGTGTAATCTTCAGCTTATCTGTTCAACATCTCTGCTCGGAAGAATTCATACTTATGAACACTGTGGCTTCGGGGTTGTTGAGCCGTCTATGGTTTGTGTATTCAGAAGTCTGTCTTGGTTTTTGTCTCGCTGTTTGATGTGCCTGTCAGGGAGAAGGGCTTGTAATTAAGCCTTGCTGCTGAGTGAGCTTTATTCAGCTGGAGGGAGGAGGAGCAGCAGCAGCAGTAGTGGTCCCTCCATCCTTTTGGACCTAATTCTAGCACCTGAAGAGTTGTGTAGATGGAGAGAGACTTCTTACATGCTATTACGAAAGGCTTTTTTCTTGGTTCATAGCAAACTTTCTGTGGCACTCACAAAATCACGGTGTTAATGCCAGCCTGCCACAAACACTAACATCTGGTACTCTTTGCAGCAAGCAGTAAGTCCTGCTTCATGCTGAAATGGAAAGGCTGGTATAAAGTTGTTCTGTAATGCTGCTGAGTTTTCCAGGGAAATTGGTGTTGTGGTCTCTCTCAGTACAAGACAGTAGCTGCTGTCTGTAGCTGAAGAAGTAACAGCGTTGTGTGGAAGAACTCAGTAATACTAATGTTCTGTCTCCCCAGTACATGTAGAGCAGGTGATGGTACAGCGTCAGTGCTAGCGCCATTGTCCTGGGTTGGTACAGGTTGCTTCTGGCGGAAGACCTCATGTCAAATGACTTGGATGTGACCTGGGAACCTGCCGAGTCTCAGGTGTGGCCCTCAGCAAAGGTCTAGGGAAGCAGAGGGGCTCCTGTTTAGGGATTTACTAGTCAAATCACTCCTACGTTCTGATCTTGAACAGTTCCTTAAAGCTCAGCCTAATATTAAGGAAAGCGTGGTGATGGAGTGTAACGAGATAAGCTTGTATTGAGGGGGAATAGAGAAAGGGCAGCTTGGAATCTCTTCCATCAACTTTTCCGCTTGAGTGGAAGGTACTTGTTCAGTGTGCACAAGGTTTTGCTAGAGGAGACTCCATACCTTTTTGTCTTCTCTCTTCAGGATTCAGTACAGGTGTGTATTGCAGAGCCTCATGTCCCTGTATGGCACGTTGTCGACATCGCTTCATCTGGTATCTGAGACCCAACAGATGCCTTATATCAAGGGGTTTACCTTCCCTTCTGATATCAGTGACTTCCTTGGAGTTAACATTTCTTCTGAGGTGAAGAAACAAAAGGCTAGAATGCTTACAACAAAAAAACCTACCAGCTGGCTGAAAAAGCATTTCCCAACAATGCCAGAGGCAGTGTCAGAGGTTGGGAAAAAGAGAAATGTTGCAACCTGTGTGAGCACTGTGAAAAACTGTAGCATCCCACGGCCCGCAGACATCGGAGAGCCAGTTCCAGTGACCAGAGCCAGCAGAGGTAAAGCCTTGTGCCGCAGTGCTACTGGTTTCTGACATCTTGGAGACTGGCTGCGACTTCTCTCCCACAGAACCAGGCACTTCTACTACCCACAGAGCATGGTTCTAGGGCAAACTCCCCTGTCCTGACCTTGGAAGAGGAGGAGAACGCTGCATGTACCTTTGCCTTTATAAAGCTGGGGATAATGTCAGCATTGTGAGGTTTTTGGGGGGTGTTGTGGTTTTTTTTTTTTTTTAAACATGATGTGTCCTGGAGAGAAGCAGGTAATGAATGCAGTACACAGGTCCTGTAAATAGTTTTGTATATAGATTTGTATTTTCCTGTTTCTGCACAGATGGGGCTGAAGGATAGTGAGGGAAGGTAAGAGCACTGTCTGCAGGCCACACGAGAGTAGATAAGGTTGTAAGTACAGGATGTGAGTATCCTGTGCTTGCTGGTTCTGGGCTGTGTTCAAGTCTTCTCCTGCAGTCAGGGCTGTGGCCAGTGACTGCAGGCATCTGGGTGTTTTCGTGAAGCTTTTACCCATTAAGTTCTCCTTTGCAGTCATCTGTAAATCTGTGTGTCCTCTTCATCCCTTGCCAGCTGCCATGCGAGATGAGCGTAGTCTCCTTGAGTTTGCCTGGAAGTGCTGAGTACAGGTGTGAGCCTGCTGAAACGGCAGGAGACCTGAGAGCTCAGCAGGGCAAAGCACTGTGGTGTCTCTGTGCAAAGACTAAAACTGTCTTTACTTTGTAATAGGAACTCTCCTCTCCCTTTGTAGGGAAGCACCTGGGGTTTGATGTGAAGAGCTTACTCAGACCATCCAGACCTCCAACACAAGAGGTTTGTATGGTACGGTTTTACACTTTTTTTTTTTTTCTTAACTTTAAAGACCCTAACAAACAAAACATGATATCCCTAATGGAAAATGTCCCCTTTCCACGCCTTATTTTTCCTTGTCAGCATGGAAGCTTTGCACTGAAAATCACTAATTTCTGCTTAGGAATATCAGCATTTGTTGGTATGTCAAGTGAAACAGCCAGAGAGCAAGTCAGTAGTAGACAGGAATACAAATTCTAATTATCTGCCTCTTCTTTTTGTGTTCCACAAAACAAGACAGCTCTTCCACTTTCTCCTTAGGAAACAAGTAATGTTAGTTAGTTATGTTCTCACAAAAACCTCAGTGCTTTGCTCCTCTCCAGCAGAGGCATGTCATGTTTTAAAAAGACTATTTCTGTTACTCTTTGTTTCAGGGTACCAGGGTTGCATCAACACCTTTTAAAGCAAAGCCAGCATCACGTATAGCAAAGCTGCAGCACACTGGACCTCTTGTGCAGATGGTCCAAACAGCGGCGTCGTTTGGCGAACTGTCGGAGGCCCTCAGAAAAGCTGTTCTGTGGTGCAAAGGCAACAAACTGAAGTCAGCAGCTTATTTTCTGCGTAACAAGTTGTTGAAAAGCAACCGGCTGCACCACGTGGAGGCTCAAGGATGCAGGTAATTTCGCATGGGAGTGGGGTTTCTGGATCTGACACTTAATATTATGTATTTTGCTACAGTGTAGAGAAACGCAGTGGTCTAACCTATTCTTTTTGAACTCAGACATGATCACTACTAGTTCAGGTTACTGGATGCTCTGACACAAACATTCTGTTGAGCTTCAGTCATTTGTGAAAGGATTTAAAAGGCTAACAAATGGACAGATACTTAAGAGGGAGGATGAAAATGCAACTTAAATCATGTTTATGTTTAATTGTAACAATTATACGATGCAAGGGGTGTTGTCTTTCTTCAGAATGCCCTGGCTACTATTGTGCTGTTGTATCTTCTTGATGTGACAAGGAAGATGGTAGGGAAGGCTAATAACCAGATCTCTCCAAAGCCCAAATGAAATAACACATAAAGTTATGTTTTGTGTACCTTCCTCCTCTTAAGCTTGAAGAAGAAACTGTGCTGTATCAAAACATCTGTCCGTAAATACCTCCTGTATGGCTCCAAAAATGCACGCTGGCCAAAGCTGTACCTCAGGGCACGGTTCTGTCAAAGGAGGATCAAATCATCCACGTCCTTGAAGAGAACTCTGAAGACACTTCAGCAAAAACCTTCTGAGCTTTCCGGGCTCTGTGAGAACAGTGCATCGCTCATCCTCCCAGCTTACCAGGATGGGCCTCAAAGTTGGGAAGGACGTTCCAGTGTCAAACTAAGCACATCAGGGACCCCTAAACGGCTGCTGCGGGAAGGAAGCCCTGGCCCTGCATGGAAAGATACTGAGAACATGGATATTGATTCTATTTTTGCAGCAATGGGTGTCTGACCCTGGACTTGCAAGGAGGAAAAGGGTCAAGTCATTCCAAATATTATTTTTTTTTAAGTAAAAGTCTCAGAACCCTAATGGTGTCTTGGTAACTTATAGCCTGAATTCTGCTAAGAAAGTAGCAACTATTTTATTATGTGTTTGTAAAACAGCTTTTTTTTATATGGAAGGGTGTTCCGAACAGCTGAATAGTCTTCATCCTTTTATCTAGCCTTGTCCAGGAACAGTGACTTTTGAGTTATGCTTATTCGGTGTCCCTTCTCTATCACCTGATGATGAATCCACAGCACAAGTAGTTACCATCTGGGGCGGAAGGCTGCAGCTTATCACTTACTGCTGCTTAGGACAGAAGACTTGCCACCACTTTTCTAAGTAAGTGGTCTTAAACCCTTCCTTCTGTGCTGCCTGTAGAGGGGACAGCCTTGACTTGCAGTATTGTTGCTGTTAAGCATTTGTGATCCTTGTCCTGAATGAGGAGTTAACTGAACCTGCTTGCCTCTGAGCTGCTCCAGAAATAGGTGGAAGCACACCTGTGGCCTGCAATGGTAAACTCCTGACTAGTGAACATGTTTCTCACTGTCCTGAAATCTTTTTAATGTAAGTGCAATTTTTGCTTGCTTGGCAGCATAAGGCACAGCTACTCCAACATGTATTAATGAAAAGATCTTAGAACAAGTAATGGGGTTAGAGCTTTCTGCCAGGCTCTTGCTTGTAACTAAGTCCCAAGAGCAGGATTACCAGGAAATACTGAAGAAAGAAGGTCTCAGAATGAAAAACAGGAATCTGCTTTATTGTAGAGCACCTACCTAACAGGGGTAAGGAAAGGCTGTAAGTAAATCTGGAATAGGTTAACTTCAATTTCCTAGGCTTAACACTGGTAAAAAACAAAAGAGCTGTGCCCATTGGGACAGAAGAAAAAAATAACTTTCCTAGCCAAGTAAGTGCTGAAACCTCTATACTATGCACCTTCAGTGAATTGATCAATATAAGTTTAGTTATGAGGTGTTGGCACAAACTTCAAATGTTTATTCAAAGAGCATAGAACAGAACTTGTAGAGTAGTTTGGCCTCAGAGACTTTATCCAGTTAACCAAGATTCATTTTCTAGGTTTCTTGTCACCAGAATACCCAGTGATAACTGAAATAGTTGTAGATAATCACCCCTTATTAGCCCTCCAGATATCTGATTCAACCACAGTCCTACTTCAAACAGATTTCCTGCCACTCCAAGACTCTTTAGAGCTCTTTTCTCATTTCATAAAATGGTATAAAAATACAGAAGTATACCACATACATCGGGTAACATTTGACTGCTTGAACACTTTTCAGAAAAGGCTGGGAACGAGGGCAGACATCCCAGCAGTGATCTCCATCCTGAATAACCCCTCCACACAACACACACAACATTCTTTCCTTTTGGGTGGCACGTGCCCAAATAATGCCCCGGCGCAGCCTGTGTGCACGATCAGGATCCGTAGTTTGCTTCATCAAAGGCCTTTCTGGCTCGTTTCAGTTCTTCGTTCATAGTTAGGAGGTCTTTAACTCTGGCAAACTTCCGGGGGTCCTTGCGGATTAGAAAGACAATGTCCTCCACCTGTACGCGACCCTGCCGCCCAATCGACATGGCCTTGTGTGTCTGTTAGAGGAAAAGAGGAAAGTCAGCACAGTTATCACAGAAGGTTAGGGATTGGAAGGGACCTCAAAGGATCATCTAGTCCAATCCCCCTGCCGGAGCAGGATCACCTAGATCAGATCACACAAGAACGTGCCCAGGTGGGTTTTGAACATCTCCAGAGAAGGAGACTCCACAACCTCTCTGGGCAGCCTGTTCCAGTGTTCTGTTACCCTTACTGGGAAGAAGTTGTTCCTCATGTTTAAGCGGAACCTCCTATGTTCCAGCTTATATCCATTTCCCCTTGTCCTATCATTGGATGCCACTGAGAAGAGCCTGGTTCCATCCTCATGACAGTCACCCTTTACATGTTTATAAACATTAATGAGGTCCCCCTCAGTCTCCTCCAAGCTAAAGAGACCCAGCTCCCTTAGCCTTTCCTCATAAGGGAGATGCTCCACTCCCTTAATCATCTTTGTGGCCCTGTGCTGGACTCGCTGTTCCTTTGCCTCTTAATGTTTTTTTAAGCTCTCACTTCCACTTTATTTCCTATCATTTTATAATCAAAAAAGTAAGCAAGCAATTGCAAGATCTGGGCACCAACCTAGTTGCAAGAGAACTTCCCAGTAAACCATGGACTGAACTGTCACTCTGCTGTCCTCGCTGCCTGTCATTTACACCCACCACTACATACAGCTAACAGTAACAACATCACAGCCGAAGCCAGGTCACAGGTAGGGCCCTCAGCGTGCAGAATGCTTGAAGATGAACAGTATCAGGCAGAGCCTGGCAGTAACGTGTGGTACCCTTATCAGAGGAGAGTTTAGGGCACTTTGATAAGGGAAGGCAAGGCCAACCTTTCAAAAGACAGGGGATCTACAAACAGTAGGAATAACTTTTTTCAAAAAACAAAACGAGCTTTCAAACAGCATCCAAACATCTGGCAGAGTGATGCTTTCAGGTCTCAGAAGCGTGCATTTCTTTTGTAGGGCAGAGCCACATTCCCATCCATGTAAAGACAGTGGGAGAACACAAAAATTCGATAACCTTTCAAAGCTGAGCCTTGTCTTTTCTCAGCTGCACATACAGTGGTGCCGCAGTGAACCTCAAAGTCAGCTGTGTATTTCCTCCCCACCAATACGAATCTGACTGCTACTGAAGGACTTCAGACACTGTTCTAAACCCACATGGAGCAAGATGCATGAATTTTGCCTTTAGCTTTTTCCTGCTGGCATCAGTTTTTGGCCTGGGATAATGCAGTACTTGAGTCAGAGGACTGAGGTCTTAGTGAGACTGTTCTGACGGTGCTGTCTAGATCTGACTTACCATTTCTGTGATAAACTCTATTACCAGGTCCTCAAGAATGTCCACTGATTCTGTGTAAGGGTTCTGGTCATCCCCGAATCCGTACATCATGCATCTTACTGCAGAAAGAAACACCCAGCATGAGGCTCCTTCCCTCCATCGAGTGCTGTCAGCAACACATCTAGTCAGAGCTCCCGTGCACCAGGGCGGCACACTCGTCTGGTGGGCAGGCAGTTCTTGAGCAAACACACGAGCAATAAGCAGGCAGACACCAACAAAAGCCCAGTGCTGTGCACACTGGAAAACACATCTTACAGCCTCTTTAAACACACATTCAGCCTATCGAATACCGAACACTGCCTGGCAGCGTGACTGTTGGCACAAGCAGGTTCAAAGGATGCATCGGCAGTATTTTTTGGGGTCTACAGGACACCTTTCTGCACATCCTGCCAGGGCACAGAGTGAACGCCGCTGTTCTGCTACGGAAAGCGGAGTTTCGGAAATCCATGGCTGCCTCCTCCAGCGCTTCTGCTGGTGGGGAGGTGGGGGCATCGTCCTTAAAAGCCACAGAGAGCCCTGCAGCGAGTGACCGGCAGCACTGGCCGAGGG